ATGTTTTTCTGAAGTTTTCTGGTCTGTTTATATGGTGACTGAATGCAACTACTTTAATTACCATCTACAGGATTCCTTCTCGAACTTCAGAAAGATCAGCTTCCAAATAAAATGTCTGACACACCATCGCTTCTGTCAATGTCAGATGCTATTCACATTGTATTGATCAAAACAGACCCTTCCGGTGACACAACATTGGTTGGATCACATTATCTTCAGTGGCGTAATGTTCTTTTCTCTAAGTCGGGAAGATTGTCTTGTCCTTTGGAGCTCAATGGTGTTGGAACAGAGTCCAAAGTTCCAGTTGGTGTACTTGACATAAAGTTTGAAATGATTCCAAGGTTGACACAGGTACATGTAACTTCAACTTATTTTCTTTCTTAAAGTGTATTATGTAATCTCTTTATCGCAGCCGTAACAAGGCTCGTTCCCAAGTCACTCTCCTAACAGCTACGAAAGGAGACTACTATGTATTATGATGAATTTATAATGTAATTGTGTGTTGTTGAATGCATTTCTAGATTTTGACTCAAGAAGTTGTGAATGCCCAGATTAGTCTAGAACACAACAGGATAGCAGAGCGTGAGCGCTTGTTCCTGGTTTATGCCAAGCAGTGGTGGAGAGAGTACCTTCAAATTCGGCCATCGCATTCTAATCGTTTGGTAAAGATATTTGCACAGGATGAGTGTGCTATTAACAGACCTGTATGCTCGTTTGTGAGACCACTAAGAGCTGGAAGACTGCTTGATAGTCCTCGTCAGGCTGCACGTTTTGTTAGTCTTCTTGGTTATGAAAGCACTCCATCTCTTGGTGGTGGAAGAGCTGAGATGTGGAGCTCCTTGCATGCTTTTTTGTGCAAGGGTAAAGGGGTAAGTTCTTTACCCCAACCATTTAGTATGCTTATATTTTTATCATCTTTTATTATATCTTAGTGGTTATGTACAGTATACCACTAATATATATATTATTATATAGTGGTTATGTATACCATCCCCCCCCCCCATTGAAAGCAAGCAGGTGTCCCACACCCCTTCCCCCCTGTTTCATTCCACCACAGGAAGTCCAAGTGAAGCTTTACCTAGGAATGAAACTAATGTATTAAAATGTATCGTAGGACTGTGAAGACCATGCCATCTTGTTATGCAGTCTACTCATTGGATTTGGTCTTAATGCGTATGTTTGTGTTGGTACCAAAGCTAAAGGAGCAATGCATACTTGGGTTGTTACCATCAGTCCTGATAGCAATGTTACATTCTGGGAAAGCCTCACTGCACATAGGTTTGCTATTTTCCTGAATTCCTCAGTTGTAGAGAACCAACAGATGTACAATGCTTGATTGAGATGAACTGCTTTCATAGTTTCCTCTCTTTAGGACTTGAAAATAAATGTCTATAAGTACTTTAGAGCGGTGTTTCCAGGAATTTAGTGCATTGCATGTGTTACAAATAGCCATTTTGCGAATTTCACCTCACTACTCTAATACAAAAGAAACAAGGCGAGTCGCTGTGCATAAAGCTCAGTCAAAGGTGAAAAACTATTGTCGTTTCATGACTGACTGGCTTTATGCATGGCGACTCGTCTTGGTTCCTTTGTGTCTTTCTACTGAGGCAATATTCGCAAGTTGGCTATTGTAATTGCTACTCCCCTCATGAATTATTTATGAGTGCTTGTCTGAATTGTTTTCTGTTGTATATCAGATATAATCACCATCCTATAAACCCAGACAATCCTCCATTAGACAAGCAAACTAGACCATCTCATCCTTACAGARCGGTTGGCTGTGTGTTTAACCATCAGGAATTCTATGCAAATACACAGGTATATAATGTTGATATGCATTTTATTTGATCAATTTTGAAATCACTAAGCAAATCCTATTGGATCTCTGCAGCTTCTTGCAAGTGTGCAAGTGCTAGGGGGGGGAATGCTGGAGGAGGGCATTTTGACATAAATTGGAATTMATTGAAGATCGAGCTAGTTATGTCATCCTTTTAGCCAACAGATACGGTAGAGTGCTGTCAGTTTGAGCTACAAAATGAATCTTTGTGGAAGTCAATGAGTGAAGATGCAATCAAGTCAATCTGTGGAACAAGAATTTTGGTAATTATGATATGTATAATTAAGTTAGAGTGAAAATAAATGTGATAATAGTCTCCTCTGTTCCCTAAGACATTGTGAAAGGTAATTTTCCTTAAACCAGTGATTGTGCAATGATAGAAACCTGTGAATACTTTTCTCTACTGTACAAGGTCTCAAAGAAGGTTTCTATTGTCACATATTTTGTCACACATCACTGCAAAAGTAAAGCTTTCAGGATGACGCAGGGAACTGTAAACAAATAACAATTCTGATAGTTGAAAAATCTCTTTGTCACCAGCCACCAATACCAACATTTCCTCCTCTGTTCCCTCCAACAATTGACGCTGCTGTTGTTAGTAATGACATGGAGCATGAACTAAGGGCACTTACTGCTGACCACCGAAGGGTATGTTTGCAGATACTCACATTTTACATTTTAGAGATGATGAGAAAAAATCTTTTGGAAAACACGAAGATAAAGCTCCTTAAATTCACTAATTTTTCCAAAGATGCAACCTCACCACATATTTCATTTTACATTTTGGTTTCTTTAAAGTGTGGCTGTCTCTTAAATTTTCAAAGGATTTTCCTGAAACTTAGTTTTTTTTCTCAAAGCACTTTTGAATTTCTTTTGTACAGGATCTTGGATTGAGTACCACATGGGATGATGAACTGTGCTATATTCTGACCCCAGCTCTGGCTGCCTATGAGCTTGAGCACACCACAGGTGTTACTGTCGGCAATGAAGAATTCCAGCAAGCTATTCGACGCGCAATACCAGATGGTCATACCTTTAAAGGATTTCCGATTCAATTTGTACATCGTAACGCCCGTAGAGCTTTTGCTTCGTGCTTAAGGTAAATGATGAAAAAATGAATTTTAAGACCAGTACAATGTTTAAAACTTGCAGCTTTCATGTAAAGTTCAAATGCACTTATTTCTGCGCACTGGCAAGATCTCCATGAATTCAATTGTTTCTCRCTTTACATGTGTGTTATGTAGTGTTTYAAGGGAATTRATGGGGGTATGACATAATTTTAAAGCCCGCGCAATTAGTTCCAGTCCRAGGCGCAKCCGAGTTCCTGGTATTTYAAAGTACTGCACAAGGTATAAATTTAGATCTCGGCAGGTTGGCTACTTGTCAAAATTAAGCCCCCGTAAGGAAGAGAGGAAACGTACATAGCCAGGAGGGGGAGAAAGCTCTTTTAGCCACCTCGAACACGTGAAGCACTCGGCTATGTAGCGCGCTACGTGTATGCATTTTAAGCCCGGCCTTAAAGAAGTAGTTTAGGGGTATCTGTCAATAATCTATGACGGACATGTGAATTTTGATGCGTTTTYAGGTCACCGGCATGTGAAGAGATACTGAGTTGTCGTGGAGATCATGTCCGACTCGCCGTTAGGGTCAGGGTTTTTACCTATGCGGAAAGTGCGTGTGCTACATGGATAATGTTCGCCATCAAGTACAAGTCTGTATTATAACAAATAATTATCACATTTATAAAATGCATACAAGAATTTTGTAAAAATTGAAGAGTCAGGTGTTGTTCCAAAGAGGTGTCCCACCAGCCGAGGCTGTAGTAAGTCTCAGTAATCTTCACCGTTGAAAACGTATACAGTTATTTCAGAAAACGTTAAAAACGGAAGATTGTGCATTCCAAAACCGTAGTGCCATGTTCTTGGTCTTTCTGTCGCTGTTCTAAAGGYGTTTTCATGGTTTTGGATTGACTACACCAGCTCCGTATAGTCAAGAACTTCAATGGAAAGCATTTTTTTAATTTTTATTTAATTTTGTTGATTTTTAATTAAAAAAAAATGGTTTCGCCATTTTGTAACGCAACTGTGATTAACTGTAAGCCTAAACGTTTACTGAAATTTCTGTATACAATTTGTAAATAAAAGCGTTATCATTTGAGTAACATGATTATTTTCATTATTGCAAATTGTACGTGGTATRAAAAGCCTTTAATGAATTCCGGACTTTGGGCGGAAAACGCAGTGCAATTAKTGTGAGCTAAGACTCAATATTWTTTCAGACCACGGAACRCCAACTGYTCTTCCTTACATCTTTCCAAAAATACGACATGGCCGTTAATCAGTCAGCTAACTCAACTTGCGTCTTAACTTTCAAATTCTCCACGGGCAGCCTCACTCATTTGCCAAGTTCGGTCAAACCAACATGGACTGTTCTTCTTGTGGTCAATGGTATTACCGCTCCAGTAACTTTTCTCATGAGCTTATCAATCGTCTGGGTAGTGCTAGGGAGAGAAAGCCTTCGTTCAAACAGTTCCAACCTTTTGCAGGCTGCCTTCGCTTTCACTGATCTCATCGTCGGCGCAGTTCGACAACCTACAACTGTGTGCTTTTTGACGWGTCTGCTGCAAGGTTACACTTTACCGTGTCCATTATACCATGCTATCAGCCTTGTTTCAGTCTTCACTGGTCTGTTTTCGCTATCCTGTTTGATGATGGTGAGCATTGAGCGATACTTGGCGATAGAATACTGTTTCTTACACCATGTGAACGTTACAGTCAAGCGKTTAGCCATCTTAATGGCCGTCACCTTTTTTTCCATACCAGTCAAGATAGCCCTAACAACGCCTCTTGATTTCCCGCTAGTCCCATTCGTCCTCATTGTGGGAAAATGTCTCCTTGTCATTTTATACTGCGTTGTAAAAGTGCACTTCACGGCACGAAGGCAACTGAATGCCATTTCTGCACAAGCAGCGGCAGTGCAAAGGACTGAGGAAGAACGGCAAGATCAGAAAAGCCAATTCAAGGAATACAAGCGTACAATTGGAGTTGGCATTTTAGTACTTACAAATTTTATTTTCTACATCCCTATGTTGATAGTAATGATTATAAGCTGGATAAGGAACGATATAACTGAAGATTTCCAGTACATCGCCATGCCAATCGCCATAACCTGCATTAACTTACAGTCGCTTGTGAATCGATTGATGTGTCTTCGCCTGTCAGGCATCCGCAAAGCAGTCATGAAAAAGCTTTTCCGCTATGGTGTTTCTCCGATAGACGATTGATTCAGGCAGACATTTGTTACAGATTTATAGCGGTTCATAGTTTGTTTATGAATAACGCTTTGAATTGTTCTCTTGGTCTCTTGTTTTTTTCTGTAATTTTCCTATTTCGTTTGCAGTCTTTATTATGAGTCATTTATATAGGAGCTTTCGCACCATATTCACCATTTTCCCATCGATTAAGAATCAAAAATATTTCTTAAACTCATGCACGATAACGTGCGCTGATTTGAAGAGAGTCTACAATGAAATAAAAAAATATCTCGGCGTGGGCAATGTTTTCAAACTTTTTTTTCAAGATACTTAGATATGAATGGAAGTAAAACAGAGAATTATACTTCTAGGTGGTAAAAGAGAAGGAGCCATGTAAATATTGACCAAGATGGTCTAAATTGAAGGTTTTGACAGCGAATCAGTCTTCACGGCCGATCCCACTTTCCTTGCTCTTTCAGTGTGTTTAGAACGCATTTTTATAAACGCTATTTGAGTACTTTGATAATTATATTGCTTCGTAATGACAGGAAGGCGCGAAGTCAATGATTTTTCTCTTTAGCAACGTGTCATTGTCTTTTTCAATCATTAGTTTGTTTTTTTCTTTCTCTTTTCAATTTTGATAAAAAGACAAATTATACATAACGTAAAGAGAGAAGATTTACTGACATTTCGGACGTTAGAAAGGAAAAATAATTTTTATTAATCCACGATTAATTAATTAGGAAAATAAAAGCAAATCGCATAGCTAAGACTAGCGACATTTTGCTTCCAAATTACAAATAATTCGTCAAGAAATATTGTTGAACTCTTAAATTTTTAGCATTGCATTTATTTGTGTTTATTTTTGTAAATAAATAAAACAAAAAAATAGTAAAACAAAATTTATTTACATTACTAGAAAGCAATAGCCGACTTGCGAATTACGCATCAATAGTCACATACAAAGGAATCAAGACGAGGCGCCGTGCTAAAGACAATAGATTTTTCACAAAAAAGCACGGCGCCTCGTCTTGATTCCTTTGTATGTGACTATTGATGCGTAATTCGCAAGTCGGCTATTCTAATGAACTTATCACATAGATAGGAAATATAGCAAGAACCAAGAAATGGCTTTTTACAATATTTTAAGTCTATGTTCTTTGTTGACATTGTCACTCCTTCTTAGCAGTGACAGAGAGAACAGATGGAGCAAGTTGTGATTTTCCAAGTTTTTTCTTGTTTACAACTAAAACCACTGGGCTATCCACACGAATAGATTCAAACTTGAATGTCTAGAGCAGGAAAATCAAAAACTATTTTGCATGCATATGACAAAACATTTTCTTTACTGTGTCCAGCTATCGGAGGCCCATTAAGTCCCCCCAAGTAATCTGCAACCATGGCACCAACTCCAATAATATTAGTAGCCATGGTAACTTTCCATCACTATAGCAACTGCACAAACTTTGGTTTGTTACTATGACAACTGTTGCCATGACAACAGTTTTCCAATGGTTTGGTAGTTTACATGTGTGCTGTTATGAAGTTTGTAGTATTTTTGAATTAAATTGATTCWTGTATGATTCAAAATTTGCAAAGGTTGTGCAATTGTGCATGCCTACCTTGTCATCCTCAGTGAAGTCAGTTACTTGTAGAAAAGGCTCAGGAATCGCCACAGAATCACCCACCATGAATCCTGATGTCATGTTCATGTTGTACACTGTCACGGGTAAACATATACCTTGACTATCAACCATGGCAAACGTACTACAGAACCATTAAATACAATTAAATATGGCAATTTTTGATAAGTTTAATTGATAATGTGTACATTTACACAGTCCCATTGCCTGTGGTGAAGTCCACAGTTACTGGCTGTATGATTAGTATATGGTTTCACTGAAAAATATCCGAGTCAACCTCATAGGCAGTGAAGAGCTAAAGTGGAATAGTCTCCTTCATGGCTATCTGAGCCATGTTGTAAGGTAGTCGTGCCTTTACATCGAAGCGAGACAACCGTTGAGCGTGCCATAATAGAAACCTGTGAATAATTGTCTGTAGGTGTGAAAAAAGTTTTCTATCATTGCACACTCAACGGTCGTCTCGCTTCGATGCAAAGGCATGGCTACCTTTCAACATGGCGCAGGTAACCGTGAAGGAGACTATTCATAACCTATTCTCAGTGGAATGCACATGTATAGTGTAGAGAGATGGTGCTCAAGCTTCATGGCCTCTCTGAGAAGACAAGGCTCTGTAAAGTGCCTTGCCAAATAACATGACATGATCGCCTGGTCTGAGATTTTACCCCCAACAATACACTAATACCAAAGTTATTTATATTATAAATTATTTGTACACATTATTTTCAAAATAACAACAATCATACTTACTAAGGCAGAGGGTCGTCCATAGGTACAGAACCAACCATACGACCTAAAACGACCTTTCCATCATTAATTCCACCCACTAACTGCGAAACAGACACCTGTTCTAGCTTGACTGACACACCCTTTGGGCTTGTGTAACAACCTCCAGCGTAAGGTCCAAGCTCGGATTCTCCTTGTGATTGTACAAGTGACTGCAGTCTCTTTGGTTTCAGTTTCCCCTATGAATGGAAATTTTAGAAAAAGTTGAACTTCCACTTGTCAGTAGCTCAGGCACACTTCTTAGTTGTCATGATATACCAACCTTTCCTCTGACCAGTTCTAATGTATGCATAAGGTAGCGCAGCAACTTATTTTTCTGCTCATTGCACTCAGTGAATCCTGGGTCAAACATGACTGCTTTCTTTAGATCTTGAATGCATTTGCCATATTCTTCTTGATACTTGTAGGCCTAAGCAACATACAGCTCCAGTTGATATCAAATATTATTTCATGGCTTTCATTGTTCCTATACTGCATTGTTTCATCAAGAAGTCACTGATCCATTATCATTAATGTTATTTCAAGCAAAGTCTTTTTGACTTACCATTGCCCTGTTAAAGTGAAGATCTGGATTGCTGGCTGTTCTTGGATCATTTTCCTAAAAAAACAACCACCAAACTTTCTTTTGAGTACACTTCTACAAGTTCTATAGTATAATGGCCAGTTCTTGAACAMTAACCATGTCTCAATATGGCATGTCCCCTACCCCTGCGAGAACATACTATGGAATGTTTTTTTTAACTTACTGCCTGACTTCATGCTGACATGTATGTCTCTAGCTACCCTACCCCTGTGAGGACCAGGTTATTACCCTGACTCCCCCTAAAGGTACATTTTTTGTATGGYCTACTTACTGCCTGACTGTATGCCGACATGCACTGCTTCAAAACTTGTGGAGACTGTGTGCCATTAAAGAACTGTGATAGGTAAGCATTGCCAAGGATATCTGCCCCCCAAAAGAAAAACAATATCATTAAACAAATACAGTTCATTTTTTCTGTATGTCAGTACTCAAATAGATAGACAGAAGATGTTGACATGTAATAGAATGGGAATTATTTCCAAAACTTACACCATGACATTCCGTCAGATATGTCYAGAGAGACAGCTTCTTTGGCCATTGAAACGCTGCGCTGGATGTTTTCACCTTTTTCAGATATATCTGTATGAACAAAGACAATAAGATACTACAGTCAKGTATGATAATCATAAATGTATTCATATCTGTCTTGTAAAGTTTAAACTCGCAGATAATCTCACCTCCACCTARCTGACGAAGGACCATTGAGAGATTTCTGAGTGAGTCTTTGTTTCTGGACTGAAAAAGGTTTGGTATACATGTATATCAGTTTATACAAGAAGCCAAAACTAAGGGTAGCTATTCATATGTACTTGTTCAAGCCTACAATTTATTCTCCAGTTATTCATAGGGATGCATTCATACTTACATGGCTGAGTGCACCACTAAAGCAGTTCTTAGCTGCAGCCATGTCTCCTTTCTTCCAGTAACATTCCCCCAAGGCATTCCATGCTTCTACCATTTTGGGAACCAGCTTGACAGCTTTAGAGAGTGCATCTTGAGCAGCTTGGTCAAACTCAGGCTTAATGTTCAGTGCTTTGCCTCGAAGGTAAAGGCACCTCGCTGTATCTTCAGCAGAAGCATGAATGTAATCAAGAATACTAAGGATTTCTTTCATCTTTTCTTCAACTAAACTGTTTTTGTCACAGGCTTGTTCAATGCCATGAGTCTCAAAATATGTATCTCTAAAGTTGTACAGCTCTTGGACTTTTCTCTGGAAATAATGGATGGCTGATTAGATTAGATTTGATGATGGATTGCTGCTTTGACAGCTAGAGATATCAAGCTTAATACAATTTGTACAGACATGGGATTTTATGTTGGTTAAATTTTCACCTCRGCTTCTTCRATGTTAACATCATCGCTRCGWGGTTTTTCCTCGTCTTCCATTTCTTTTCTTTTTGCCACAATATCGTCGCTTGATCCTTCACATCGCCAAGAAAAGACACGCTTTTGTTGTCAGCTGAAAATTTCACCTCGAGCCGCCATCTTGGAAAACAAAGGAACTCCGCAAAGCCTTGAATATTCACGTAAGTTGTTATGGTAACGGTAACGCGGGCACATACTCCTAAGTACCGTGCAATTATCGCTATGTTTTATCATAAAATCAATATATTTTTGATCAATGATAATTAYTCTCAAGAATAATGGCAGAAATAGGAAGATATAGAGATATGGCAAGTCCTTGGGTGACTAAGTTTGGAGAAGAAGGAAGGAACAATCGTCATTTACGTAAGTATAAAGATGTTAAGATTAAATGCATGGCGATGAGAGGCCATTAAGGGCTATATAAACTTACTTGAGAATTATTGTTTATTGCATTTTCTTGTGTGTTTGCAGTRCCTCGTCTTATTGGAAGACCAATTTTGAATTATGACTGCCTTAAATTGCTATGTAACATAGAGGGACTTGGAGAAAGGTAATTTCAGTTTTGACTATTATGTTAATAATGCAGTTTATAACATGCCTTAATTTAAGCAGCTGACTTGAGCATACACTTAACTGTTATTTTAAGGCATTCAAAATAAAAAGTTATGATATCTAACATTTCAATATGTTCCTCAGGCTAAAGCCTTCTTCACCTGAWGCACATACTGAATTCATGAAAAACTATCCAAAGATGTTTGAAATGCAACCACCATTGCTGCAACCAGCACTGCTGGAAAAGAGGTATGATATAACCGTGTATTGGAAATTATTTTATCTATTGATAGTAGGGAGTATAAAAGCTGAGTTGTTTGAAGAAAGTACACCTTTTTCAAAATTGAATTTAAACTGCAACCACTGTTGGGTCAGAGTTCATGTCAGTTTGGAGGAAGTAGTCTTGAAAGCAGAGGCAATGAAGATTGGTACTGTATTGGAATTCAGCCACCTGAATTCACTTGTTTTGTTGATTGTTTCAAGGAACTCTGAGCATGGCTACAAACACCACATGATATCTAAGGAGCTCGTCATTCCACATGGTGAGTTACCATGACAACACTTCTTACACCCTTAAAACTTTTTTATAACGTCATCTTCAATTCCTGCCATTTAACTGATTATAATATATTGTTCTTGTTATTAGATAAAGGCCTTTTTCCTCACTGGTGTCCAGGTTTTGATAAACATCTTTGCAGTCACAATATATCGCAGCACATGTCAAAACTACACAAGCACAACTTTGTCATAACGTCAGCAACTAGCGTCTTCAATGCAAGAATCAAGGCTATACGCAGGATATTAAGAAAAATGCAAGTTGAAATTATCAAATTTATAGTAAATTAGGAAAGTGCAAAAGAAGACATATCTTCCAGGCAAACATATGTGTTGCTTTAAACTAAAAAATATTGCAGGGATATAAGAAAATGCAATGCAGTTGAATCTCCAATAATGGATGTTGTTATATGTGGACAGCTYTAATTTTTTATTCAAAACCCATACAAACACTGCATTCATACATTCTCATTGGCAGACAGCACACTCTACCAACMGACACKTTTTCCATTTCTCACGGGTGTCTGCTTACTGGAGAWTTAACTACATATTTTTGTCATCGTTGTAGGCCATTTGAAAGAAAGACTAAAGAGAATGAAGCATTATACAAACATCTCATATCGTTACCTGAGATATCGGCTCAAGTTGAACCGCGAGTATTGAAAGAACTATGTACYGTGGCTCATCTCGATAGATGGACTGATGCAGATTGCACAGGTAATAATAATATTAATTAATTAATATATTGACTGGAGATATTCATAKAAAACCTCTCATTCCTCACAGTCCAGATARGGTTTGCAACTGCAATGTGCAAAAGACTGCTGTCAATCAACTTAAGTGCTTATTGGCATCGGTCTGGATCCATACCTAACTGTAGATTCTACTTATAAATATGA